ATGTAAATAATTATGAAACGCAAACTACGATAAAATCCATATTACACATTTGACCGCTTTGAGAATGGCCATGGCAAAGGATTTTTTCATAATAGCCTTTTAATTTTACTACAGCCATTCATTGCGGGATTTATGAATGTGTTGAATTACTTCCAGACCTTTCAATCACAATGAATGGTTATCTTTAAACCACTGCAAAAATATCGTCTTATCCGTCCCCCCCTTGTAGCAACTATATTAAGACGTAATATACTTACTCCATACTCTCATTAGGTTCACGACAAATAATGAGATAGCTCTGTTAATTCTACATAACTTATCTCTAAATGATCCACATTCAAAGAAATTCTACACTAATTCTTGGTTCACTAATTACATTTCCCAAGTGTACAGCTAACTACAAGCTTATAATACAAGCCGTAATTAGTATTTAATACTAATTACAAGCTTTAAATATAAGCTTATAATATAGGCCGTAATTAGTATATAATACTAATTACAAGCTTATAATACAATAGCCGTTGTATGTACATCGGAGTTAGTCTAACTCGGACGCTTGAGATGTACTGCACATTTTCAACACCAATTATAACAACAGCAACAAATGTAACTCTCGACGAGTCCAGTTCCTGCCCCTCACAAGACGCTTCAGCCTCGCTACAGAGCAGACAGCCAGACTCCGACCGCATCGAGCTTCCACGCTCTCGTCCCCTATTCGAGCTCTTCGACCCCCGCCAACATTCAGAGCTCCAAGCACTCACCCCGAACCCGAGCTCTCTGCCCTGCTCCAGGCCTCGACTCATCACAACACGTCATTACATCTCCAATAAACACTGTCATTACTCAGTCTCCAGTGGTAAGACACTAAACCGACTGCGCAATTCCTTATGTATAACGCAACAGTAAAATGTGTACTTGGATGAGTGGCTGTACAAGAATGTAACAACTCTTGTATATATAAAAAAAAAAAAAAAAAAAAAAAACAAAAAAAAAAAAAAAAAAAAAAAAAAAAAATAAACACTAAACTAAGTCTTATCACCTAAATACGTATACGAAATCATACGTTACACCCTTAAATGTTTACAGCCATATTTTTAATTCCCGTTGTCAGGGGCGGGGGGCGGAACAGAAATCCTGTACTTAGGTTAATCTAGGTCCCCCCTAGGACAACAACTGATCTCTCCCAGGGTTGCAGCCCTCAACAACTCCTAACTCCTGGTTATACCTATTTTGCTGCTAGGCGAACAGTAGCATCATCAGGTGAAAGGAAACATGCTCAACCGTTTAATTCTGTCCTGGCCAACGATTTAACTCAGGTTGAGGACGCAAACCACTTACCTATTTCCCTATTACTGCTTTGTGCACCACGTCCACAACAGTACCAAACTCAAACTTTTTAACCCACAGGGTAATAAACCCGTGGAACCGCCTACCCAAAACTGTGAAATTTGAAGATTCAACTGGAAAAAAATCCTCAGGGCAAATGGGGGGGGAGGACCCTTTGACAAGCCGGCGGCTTCTTGTCCTCGTTGAGGCCACGAGTGTGTTAATGGCCCTCAGATAAATTCAGATAAATTCAACTAAAACAGCCACGGCCAACTTACCTTATCGCTAGGCTCGGGTCCAACTATCGGGGTCACTTTCCACACACCTCAACAGAGAACATTTTTATTAGGATGCATAAAATTGAGCATAAAACTTTTATTTCATATACACACGACTTAATCACATGTCTAATTTAAGATATTTGGAACTAGATACCAGTAGAGTTTAACTGTTAATGATGATCAATTATAGTATAGTGAAGATAATAAATAAATTATATATATATATATATATATATATATATATATATATATATATATATATATATATATATATATATATATATATATTATATTATATTATATATATATATATATATATATATATATATATATATATATATATATATATATATATATAAAACAGATGAGCCTCACACTGTTTCAAAGACTTTCTCAATCAATGAGAAACTTATTTATTTTTTAAATTTTTCGGAGAGTTGAGATGATAGGTAAAACTGGGAGATAAATTTGTTATTATAGTATTTGAACACGTTGTGTACTGATATTGGGAAAATTAACTAATAATTACACTCATTATACTATATCACCATGGCCATAAAGTCTCCATGGCGCAGTGGTAACACACTCGCCCCTCGCTCTGCGGTACCTATTAAACTGCTGGGGTGAACAGAGGCTACAGTTAAGGGTTGGCGCCCAGTCAATCCTCCCCGGCCAGGATGCAGACACAGAGACAGATAAAGACAGGATAGGGAGAAAGGGAAGGAGAAGGGGGGACAGGCGGAGTGGGAGGGGGGGAAGGCTGGTGAGAAAGTTGGAGGGGAGGGGGGGATAGATGGAAAGAGAAGAGGGAATAGGATATGGAAAGAGAAATGAGAGAGGGGATAGGGTAAGGGAAATGAAAGAGGAAGAGAGAGAGAGAGGAAGAGAGAGAGAGAAGAGAGAGAGAGAGAGAGAGAGAGAGAGAGAGAGAGAGAGAGAGAGAGAGAGAGAGAGAGAGAGAGAGAGAGAGAGAGACCCAGACGCAGCCGGCTGACAGCAGTCACTCACCGCTTTTTAGCCTTAAATATCTAAAAAAAAATCCTAGGCAATAATGCAGTCATATATATATATATATATATACACTGTGGACTAGGACTTACAACATTATAACATACCACACAATATTGACCGTAAAATGGCCTTATACTCACCGATAAAAGACAAAAAACTTCCACTTTGCGAGTAGTCTGCACGTCTTCTAATGGCACCTTTGTTTACTATTTTAAGACGTGTTAGACCAGACACTCGACTCACCTTGGTTGCCTATAATGTCAAAACTGTCAACTTATATTTCACTTAATTAAGCTTCTGACCGCCAGGGGCGCTAACATTTCCCCATTATTATATTTATTTATTTATTTTTATTTATTTATATATATATATACAAGAAGGTACATTGAGATTGTGAGGATACATAGCATAGTAATTACATTCTTGTAAAGCCACTAGTACGCCCAGCGTTTCGGGCAGAAATAATATAATATATATACCAATAATATAATAATTTTTATAATAGCATTAATAATTAAGTATTGTCATGGCCTGGAGAGAGAATTTCAGCAATTTGTCTGTGTACTGGTTTTCAAGCCAAGCTTGTATTAGTACAAATGATTTACGTGTATTATTGTAAATCATACAAGTAAATATTACTTGTATTATTTACAATATTAACTTGTATTAGTGTAAATAATATTTGTCTTTCTTAAGGGCAATTTCGTGTAATCTTTATATATAACATGCCGTATATGTTTCTTAGTGTGAACATTACCACATCTGCGTTGAGATCTCTGGGGACATTTTATCTGTAATATTTCAAGACAACGTTTGCGTCAAATATGCTATTTTAAACGTATTGGCAAATGTCAACAGCTAGTGTGATCACTGAAGACGCTGAATCATATACATCTGAAGTTTTCTCATGCTTACTGTAGCTGTTCATTGCCGTACTTACTGAACTTGTGCATTACCATATTTATTGTAACTGTTCATTATCATACCGAACAGGTTCATTAATATACTTATTGTAGCTGTTTATTACCATACTTACAGTAACTGTTTATTACCATACTGAACAGGTTCATAAATATACTTATTGTAGCTGTTCATTATCATACTTATTGTATCTCATGTCTTTTTCTAGATAATGTGGAATACATGTGTTTTTATAAGTGCAAACAATAATATATATTTTTTACTTTGCAGAGTATTTTTTGTTGTTGTTATTGGCTCATGGTTTGATAAATGTCCAAATTAAATTTTCTTTTGATTACATTATTACTAGAGACTCATAATCCTCCAATTACATAAACTGTTGAATTGGACCAGGTTCTGTTTGAGCAGGTTTCCACTACAAATAAATACTCCAGCAATTTAACTAATTATCTGTTAATGCCCGAAACGTTGCACGTACTAGTGGCTTTACGAGATTGTAAATACTATGCTATGTATTCTCACAAACCCAATGTACCTTCTTGTATATAAATAAATAATAAAATAATAATAATTAAACTTTTGGAAAAATACAAATTCTGCCATGTGTAGGAGGACTCCTTCAAACGAATATTAAAATGTATATGTAAATATACCAGTAGTAAACTGCTACAAGATCCAAGAGTAATGATAATTCAACATAGAATTTACGTTGCTCTCGTGTGCACTGGATTGGAGGTTTGGGGCGGGACTTTTTTCACTAACATTGGTTTTAATCAATTGCATTTGTTTATTTTCCTTGATTTGTGTTTTCCTGTTTTCAGTTTGTTTCTACCTTTCCATATTTACTTATTGAGGGTAACACAGTTTCTTGTGATGAAACTCCTTTTTTGTAGACATTAAGTAATTATCTAAGATCAGCTTGGAAGATGTTTTAGCATCATCTAACACAGAACATTGTTTACAGTAGCCAACCCAACATATATCAGATTTTACAGTTCAAAAAATGTTAATATTAAGTTTCAATTATTACCCCCCCCACTAAACATGAAAATTAATCTCCTAATTGACTTAATTAAAATTATGCCCAAAACTGGGTATATTGGTTTTATGCAATGTACATTTCTTACCTATGTATATTGCATGCACATAGTGGAGAATGGAGTACATTCTTACCTATCATACGTACTTTTATACATATATACTGTACTATCATCACTATGCCTGAAGCACTCGGCATGTGTGGCTTTATACAAATTACCTTGTACTGTTTACTTATGAATACTCCACTATCATGTTTCAAATGCTTTTTACATGAAAAAGAATGAGAATTATATAGGATTCAATATTATGTAGCATTAATACTAATATCCTATAACAGTAAACATTGCCATTGAAGTTGTTAAATACATAAACACCTGAATATATATATATATTCAGCCTCCAGGGTAATGAAAAAATACAAAATAGTTCAAACTTCTATTATTCAATAAGCTTCTGAAAAATCTTACAATAATAAGAATTTGCTATAAAAACCATCGGATGGAAAACAAATTGCAGTTTTATAAATTTGTCCCGACTACATATGAAAAGGACTTGTGCCGATACTATCAGAACCCTATTTTGGACTGTTTCGTGTTGTGCAACAGAAATACTGATGAAGCTTTCCTTTGTTACATATAACTTCCAGATAATACAAAACGGTTACAGCAGGTGGTACAAAAATGTTTGCTTATTAAAAATTAGTTTGGTTATCTAGACCCATATAAAAACACCAATAGATGTTGATCACTATTACCAGTAAGTGAATGCCCAGATTATATGAAATGGAAGATAACCAAAAAATATTTCACTGACAGTGTTTATCAGGTGCCCTCACAAAGTTGTATTCAGAAGCCAATATTGCTTCCACTGCCCACATGCACCCGAGTATGTATACATATGTATATGTGTGTGTATGGATGAGTGTGTGTATGATGTAACACTATACTCCTCAGTACATAGTAATTATCTATTGTAAATAAAATATATTCTCTAATATTAGAAAACATTTTATTACTTTAGCATTTATGAAAAATAGCAACACCAGTTTACATAGACAGTTTACATTGTTCAGAGTCTTTACAATTGTCCATTATTGTTACATTAAGAGCCATTTACTGTATTTACAGCAAAAATAACACTTCATAACCTGACTGCTATATGCTGCCCCCTATGCTGATCATGCACAACAGAAAAACATAGCAGTAGGTAATTATCAAAGAGGGGTACCAAGCCAGGAAGACTATGTAGCACCATCTACGTTGCTGGATATTCAAAAGGCGCTAAATATCACTCAAGATGCCAATACAACAACAACAAATCATAAATCTGAAAGATCCCGGCAGCTAAAAAGTTAATAATAAAATAAACATCTATAATTTGAGGCACTTACATATCTAAAGTAAACTTTGGATTTTAGCTATACAAATTTGAGACTATTTCTAATACTGCATAAAGGTGTCCCAATATTCCATCAATGACAATTCCAGTCAAATCAAACATTTGGTAAGTCTGACTCAAAAGGTAGATACTAAGGGTAACAAAGCACCAAACTGGCAAGAAAAACATGTTAAATTGCATAAATGATGTGCATTTAAGCAACAGTGCAGGCGATGAGTCACAATAACGTGGCTGAAGTATGTTGACCAGACCACACACTAGAAATTGAAGGGACGACGACGTTACGGTCCGTCCTGGACCATTCTCAAGTCGATTGTGACTGAGAATGGTCCATTGAGAATGGTCCAGGACGGACCGTAACGTCATCGTCGTCCCTTCAATTTCTAGTGTGTGGTCTGGTCAACATACTTTAAGCAACAGTATTTTCAATATAAAAGTGATACAAGCTATCCTTGACAGTTTAAATAGCATCTGCAAGTAATAATGCTTAGTATTTGTCCCCTTGAGGTGGTGTGTTGCTTTCATTATTGATTGTGCCTGCTCTATATAAAGGATTTTCATATACAAAAGCATTCTACCTGCTCTGTTGTTCTGATAAAGCTATGCAATAGTACTAAAATGTAATTAATTATTTTGCTGGCGTGCGGGTGGGCTTTGCCCACCTAAGGGTGTCTTAGAAAGTTAACACGGTGAAATTTTCTACCCTTGATATAGTGTAGTACATATGCTATATGGAACACAAGTATATTTCCCTATAATGCTGGATGTCTGTCATCATTCACAATACAGTACAAGTAACTAATTTCTATACTTACCAAATTAATATATTTTAGGCTATTCAAATCTTAAATACACCCCCACAGTTCATGTAAGAATACCTATCAGTATCTGATTTAATCACAATACAAACTTCAGTATACAGTATTATATTGTCTACTCATATCCGTCATTTTCCCCACAAGTAACGCGCATATATTTGCCACATACGTAAACAATATGAAACGTTACTTATATTAGTTTTAACGAATGGAAGCATCACCCTGACATACTGTAGTTGCAATAACAGTACAAATATAAAGCTTGAAAATGATAAAAATTCTGTCTCGACACCAAATCATGATCCTTCCCACACTTGTATAAATGTCAATAAAAAAATTGTATTAGTCTAAATTAAATACACAACTGGAGTGGGTAAAATAACAAATGTGTTGACAATAACAATACACTGGAAAAAGGCATTGTGATTGGCAGACACTAAAAGCTATATATAGCTACTCTTCAAAGCTGTTTTTCTCATCAACCTCTTACTCAAATAAAATGAACACCATGAAATGTAATAATGATGCTCGACTCAAAACAGAAATAATTCACATGATTATAAATGTTATCTAAATATGATATGGTCAATGCTCTTTGACAACCCCAATTAAAAAAAGGAAGGTTTCTATGTTACCTTTGGCATTTGAAACAATGTCTTAGGTGAAACTAGCTTTTCTATATATAAGCTGCTGACAAATAATAGCTGAATTTAAAAAATCAATAAAAATAGCAGCAACCAGAGTAGATCATTGTGAATCCTATTACACCACCACATTGGCAAGTAACGTCTGGATTTATTTTGCCTTTGGTCGACTCTCTAGCACTGTTTGCCTTTGATGACTTTGCCCACAGGTTTGTCGTCAGGATAGGCTTCACGAGGCGGTACAAGAGACAGCATCATTAGATGCCGAGAGAAACACTTTGATGCTCTAAACTTATCGTCGGTACCATGAAGTAAATCCAAGACGCCCAATACTCCATAGCACTGGTTAAACCTGGAAACAAATTAAAAAACTGTAAAAAACACTAAAATGAAAACAGGCAGCAACACTGAAAACCAACAGCAGTATACTCCAGAAAGTCAAGAAAGTTTACTACCTCATGAGACAAGTTGTTCCTTGTGAGCTGTCAAGTTTACAATTCAAATATTCACTTCATCTTCACAACCTGCCGTCTCCTACCCTTCTTCCCTTTTCATGCTTCCTCGGCACAGCAGTCTTGCCTTTCTTTGCCTACTTCTATATCATTACACTGATTCTAACACACAATTACTACATTGTGATATCCCTGAATGTATCAGATGTGGTACCAGAAATGTTATTCTGTAATGATTGTACTGGCACAAAACCATACCAGAAGACTGAAAAAGGGTACCAAGAAAAAGTATATACAGTATATTTATGATATACTATAGTTTGATTCTCTTTGCTATTAATTACTTTTTTTGTTTTGGCTCAACAAGGGCCTCACAGCACAATTTACAGACAAGTTCATTAATTGTATAATTTTAATGATTAAGCAGTTATAAATATGATAATATCAAATACCAGCTAAATATCCTATACATTTTAAAGCAATATTCTCTCAATTTTATTACATGTTGCTTATGTCATAGTTAAACTTAAGTATTAAATAATATACACTATTAAAGTAAGGCAATTATGAGAAAGTTCTAAGTCAGGACGACTATATAGCACTTGGAAGAGAATATCAAGATAATGATTTGGGATAAGACAGAGGAAAGAAAATATTAAATTCACCATCAATTTAATTGTTCGATTTGTTCACCATCAAATTCATGTACTATGAATTTTAAATTACAAGAGGAAAATCTAAAAAATGGCTTCTGAATTACTACTTATTCCTGGCTTATCATCATCAATGAGCTTAACCTAAAATTTATCCACTAAACTTTAAACCAATCAATTAAATGCTTGCATCTATCCATGCGTACTTGTTTTGAAGCTAAAATAACTACCGAAATCTGTAAGCTTAAAAAATTCATAAGCCGAATTTATCTTTTCTAATTGCCATTACCTCAGTCTTTATAAACAATTGGCAAAGCATATCTACCAACCAAAGAATATAAGCATTGCTTGCAGCCCAAGGATTAAAACGTGATAGACAAAATACAAATCAATCAACATCTGGTTATAAACTTACTTGAGATGATGGAAGTCATGAGCCTCGGGAGAGGGGAAGAACGGCAGATGGTAACCACTGTGAGCGTTCAAGGTGCTGAGGAGGGCCAGACTAACCCAGAGCCATATAGTGGCCACATGGGAACCCATCACCAGAGGACCAAGGAACACAGGAGCCATATTAGATAATATATGCTCCAGTGGATGGGCGTATATGGCCGTGATGGCAATAGGGCTCTGCCACTCGTGATGCAGCTTGTGGAAGTGTTTGTATAGCAGACGATGGTGGAAAAGCCTGCAAGATAAAACTCCAACTTAATATGAAAAACGAAATATGTATTATAGCTTGCATTTACTGGATCGAAGATTAACAAAACAGACGAGCTAGCCGAGGCAATGGTGCGATTATGGGAATATTTAAAGGGTATATCACAATGCAGTAACAATAACAATATTAATAATCTCATTCGTTAATATTTCCATAATTACAAATATTTAATATAAAGTCAGCGAATAGTTAGATAACAATAGAGTACAACAAACGCTATACAGCGTTAGTAAATACTAAAAAAAGAAACATGGAGCTAAAAAAGACTTTACCTCTTGATTAACAAGAGCTAAATCTAATTTACAGATACCCAGGGGCTAGTGCTTATAAAGGAGTGAGGTCACAGATGTGAAAGTGGCAGAATTCGTCAATGGTGGAAAGCTTGTAACTATGTCGTATTTATTACAATAAATATATCTTCTTTTCCTTGCAGAAACCTACATAATATAATTTTTGTTTTAATTAGAAGTACTAAGCATACTAAACAAATTTAAAACAATTTATTTTCATTTTTAATTGTGTGCCCATTTATTTTTTTATTTATGGCACAGCTGAAAAGGGTAGATTTTTTTACCAGCTATTTAATAAAAGGATGCAAATGGAAATATTTTTGGCTACATATTGTCTCTTGGTATGAATAGGACAAAAAAAATATTGTGCATGTTGTAGCCGAAAGGTAAAGTGCATACAAATGGGCACATACATACATATACTGTATGTTTATATATACAGTGTGTGTGTGTACATACATACATACATACACATTATATACACACACACACACACACACACACTGTACAGTACATGTGTGCAAGAATGCATACTAGTAATTATCAAACTCCATTTTTAAATACCTGTGGGAATAGTAGAAGCCTATTTCCTCCAGGAGTATACAGACAATCAGCTCGAAGAGAACCCAGTGAAATGTCGGCAACTGAGTAGACTGGTCAAATCCACGGAGAGACATCAGGTAGTAACAGAGCATAGAAAACAGGATGCTCACAATGGTTTGGTTGATGTTCACCCATACGATACACTGTCAGGAATATAACATATATATACAGTATATTGGTATAAAAAGTATTCAACTTTATTGCTAAAGTAACTATAGAATCACAACATTATTAAATCCAAAACATTTACTGGTACATGTTGATAAAAACAAAAGAAATGAATTGGGTAAGATACATTATGACCAAAGAAAACACATACAATGGAGACACCTTATAAAATGTTTATAAATTTATCCTACAAATTAACCAAAAATTCTTAAAATATACTTTATGTTTCCCACTGTTAGTGACAGCCAGCCTGTTAGGCTTATCAAGGTCTGATGATACATGTTCAAATCATCGTGCAGTCACTCGACCAGTTACTGGCCACGGCCTGTGATGTCAACCCCTTGATTGCTTTCGTGGGGATCGAACATGTCTCTGCCTCTCTGGATCGTCTCTGCCCTGCCACTAAAGGTATGTTTCACTAAGCTCTAGGGGGTTCACTATAGTGGAATTCAAAAATCTTAAAGTTACAATTTAGGCCCCCCTGGGACAAACACTGCAAATTCAGATTAGTAGCTCAGGATTTTCCATGCAGCTACAGTAAAATATTTTACAAGATATATTTTGTTAAGAATGCCAAGCGTGTATGAAGTTGCATAAACTGGAAGATAAATTAGATAAAAGTCTTGGTTAGACAAGGTAGAAGGTGTACTTTGTGTATAGAAAGTGAACAAGTGAGTGGGTAAGAAAAAAGGGTACTGCATGTGAAATGATTAACCAGAAAACGATGAAGAAATAGGGAGAAAACTGAAAACAATTTCTGTCTTAATTCTTCTGCTGCTAAACACGATTGTGGTTGCCTAACAAAAAAAATCAGTGATCCCTGTAGTAATCGACTGCATTCCAGGTGCCTAGAAAAAGCTATATGAACATGTTTGCCGATGATGCCAAGCTACTGGGGTAGATATGACATTTGAGGCAATTGTTATGCCCTTCAAGAAGATCTGGACAAAAATATGGAGTAATACTTGGCAGATGGAATTTTATGTGAATAAATGCCACATTATGGAATGAAGAACAGAAGATAGTAGGTCACACACAACCTACACTTTATGTGAAAAAGCTTTAAAGAATACCGATAGAGAGATCTAGGGGGAGGTGGTTCTGGATGGAAATTTTCGCCTGAGGACCGCATAAAGAACATCGTGTGAGGAGCATATGCTACACTTTCCAACTTTAGAATCCCTTTTAAACAGTACAAGGATAGTGAAAAATTAAAGAAATTGTGCATGAACTTTGTGAGATCAAAATTGGAATATGCAGCAGTTATGGTGTTCATATCTCAAGAAGCACATCATTAAATTGGAAGGTGCAAAGTCTTGCAACTAAATGCCCGAAACGCTTTGCGTAATAGTGGCTTTAGGCATTGTATGTACTAGCTCTATCTATAAAGCCAACAAACTTTGTAAAATCTCTTTATGTATGTAATTTTACCTAAATAAATATTATTATTATTATTATTATTATTATAAATGGCTTCTGGAACTGAAAACCAAGAGCTACAAAGAGAGACTTGAGATGTTAAATATACCAAATCTAGAAGATGAAGAAAAAGAGGCGATATAATCACTACAGTACGTACAAAACAGTAACAAGAATCAACAAAGCTGACAAACAAGAACTTTTGAAAACTCAAACTTAGAGAACAAGAAGACAAATTCAAACTAAGGAAACTAAGCTGCCAAAAAAAAACATTAGAAAGTTCACTCTTGTAAACAGAGCAGTAGACGATTGGAACAAGTTAACCGAGGTGATGGTGGAGGCCAAAACCATCAATAATTTCAGTGTCACACGACAAAGAGATAGAACATTGAGTGTGGCTCTCGTCCTGTAACTACTTGGATAATTACGAAACACGCTGTATATTAAGCATTCTGGAATCAATTTCTAAATTTGGGGACTATTTTCTTTCAATTTTTGTTTGTTCAACATTAACTCACCATTATGAGTGCTAAAAAGATTAATGATAAATTATGCAACTTTTTGAATACATATCTTAAAAATTTAAAAAGAAATAAAGACAAATGAATGAAAGGGATAAACAAATGTCTAGTTGCACAGTATTTTATGGCAAAAATGCATATAATTTCTCATTTAGTAAATTTACTGGATGTACTGGTAACACTTACGGCCTAATACATAGTTACTTGAACCGCATTTTGTATTCTTTTGGAAAGATGAATGCAAGCAGAGCAGAGAGGCAGGTGGAGGGTTAAATGAGTGTTGACAAAAGCCAAAAGAAGAGGAAGACTTCTCGTCCTCAAAAACAAAATTTTGGAACAACAAAAGAGGAAGGAAGACATAGGAAGTCATAGGGTAAATGGTGAAGACATAAGAAGTCATAGGGTAAATGGTGAAGACATAGGAAGTCATAGGGTAAATGGTGAAGAGGTTGCAAGTAGGTGGAGAAAATATTTCGAAAGCTCTCGTACCTTAACCAGCTTCTTGAGTTCAATGGGTTCATTAGTTCCAGGCTGGATTTTGTAACGCTTCAAAAAGGCAGGTTTGTTTGTTAAGTCTACAAGAGTGTAGATGGACCCAACTGTCCAGTACACAATGTACGACACAATTGTTGTTCCTGAAAAGATAATAAATATATTTTAAAATCTTCATTCAAGTTAGTAATTATCAAAAGAAGGGACCAAGCCATGAAGACTATGTACTAATTACTATGAACATAACCACTTTTTATTCTGAGTTATTAAATAATAAAGACAAACTAAAGTTCCAATTACTGTAATACTTTTGTTACTATAAACAATTTAATACATTCCCATAACTGTGACTGGAAATTAGAGTGTAAAAAATCTATTTCTCTCATAATTCAAGTTTCAACAAGTTCTGTCCATTGGTGGCTGAACTGACTCGTATTCCCAGCTCCAATATTAAAGCTTACCATAAACCAACAGAACAAAAGAGTCATCTCCAAAGCTACGCAGGATCTTATCCCACTGGTGCTGCCAAAAGTTACCAGATGCTCCCCAGAAATGCTGCAAATGACTGAAAGAACACCAAATTAGTTACACAATCTTCAACACAACAGAACAGCAGAAAATTCAACATTGGAAATCATTTAAAAAAAAAAACTAGGACATGTAAGGAAAGGTAAGTAGTTATTAAAAGAAAGAGCTAGACCTGTATGACTATATACGAATTTGAGGACAAGTTTCTAGGATAGGATGGAGGGAAGGAATGGTGCTCAACCACTTGGACCATTAGGGATTGAATGCCAACATCCAAGAAGCAAGGCCGTCCCTGTATCGACCAATCCAAATGGTGCGGAAAGAGAAAAACAGTACATACAGTACAATGTCCCATTGGTCAATGTACAGTGTATTTGATCCGATTGTTTAATGTGCACAGATTATTTTCTCAAGATAAATCACATGCTTGTGATTTCCAAGCCAGTACTGTACAAATGTAAATTTCATTTAGTTAAATTGCATTAGGACAACTGGGGGAGGAAACCCCAGAATATTTCAAAACACAAGTTTTAATCCTTAAACTTTACCTTTGCTCAGTTTTTTGCTCGTCCTGAAAGAAGTTGAATTGTATGCAAAATCACAACATTTTAAAGGGTGGACAGGTATGGTAGTTTCTGATCCCAAGGATCTTTGCCAATATGCACAAAAATGAGAGTATTTGGAGTCTAATGCGAGTAGGAGTAAAAAAAAGAGTTAAAATGTGCACAAGTGAATGCACTTATGCACTGTAATTCCCAGGCGTGTATGAGTGCATAAATGAAGGAGTCTGCATAAAATAAAGTGAGGGAATAATGGTTGACTATAGGAAGAATTCTACCCTCCCCCCCCCCCCCCACACACACACACACACACACACCACTAAAGGGATGGGGGAAGTTGATATTTAATAAAAAAAAAAGTCATATTCCAAAAGTTAATAACCATCTCTTTAATAATTTATAGTAATATTAGTCAATTATAAACAGCAATGAAATTAAGTACTGTACTGTTACTGTAATGTAAAATTCAAATTAAGTTTCTACAGTAATTAGCAGGTCCCAGAAAATCAGTAATATGTACTACAGAGTTGTGCTCAGGAAAACAGGACAAACTAGTAAATATTATTGTACTGTACTGTGTATACTCCAGAGCATTAAAATTATCCCCAGATCCCCTGTAATACTAAGATAAACTACGGGCTCACCATAGCCGGTGCTACTTGGAACTTTTTGATCCGGGTAGTGAACCTTAAACAACAAAAAACTAAGATAAACTAGAACATTAATTTAGGAGTGCATAATTTTTTTTTTTTTTTCTATGGCAGGTAGGCAAGGAAACTTATACTACAATCAAAATTTGATTTTAACTGACAGCTTTCGATCTCAATTCTGTAGGATATTTTGCAATCGAGTGCAGAATGTGAGGATGGTGGGCTTTGGCAGGAGTCAAGGGTAATAGTTGGGCGTTTTGATTACTTAATAGGATAGTTGCTTCTTACAGTCGTGTATGTGATACTGTAGTACTAAAACCCATTTACTCTGGGGTTGGGAATGAGCTCTTCTGAATGGTGAACAATGTATCTAATCATGGTGTATCTACATTCTGAACAATGTATCTACAGTACATTCTGAACAATGTATCTACAGTACATTCTAAACAATGTATCTAATCATGGTGTACTGTATCTACATTCCGAACAATGTATCTAATCATGGTGTATCTACATTCTGAACAATGTATCTAATTGTAGCTGGGTAGCTTATTATCCCGATACGCCTAGCTGCTCTATATGGCTTTTAATGGCGTTGCAAGATTTAATTCTACAAACATCTACCCTTGTAGCACAAGTCCTGCCCAACTGTGCTGTGAACCAGACAGAACAGAGGATCACTGTACTTTTGGAAGCAACTTTACGCATTACAGTTTGAACACTGTCGACCATTATCAAAATTCCAGTCTTTTTAGTAAAATTACCAGCAACGCAACGCTGATGCTTCCTTGGACAAAGAAGTATCAGCCTCGATATGTTAGGCAACTTGCCTAGATATTAATTAACTACCTGTGTAACATACTACTGCAGGTTAAGATTTTGTCTAAGTACAGTATTAAATTACAGTACAATTCACAGAGATTCTTACTAAGTGAGACTGTTCCTTAATGCAGCAAAGATAATTGTAGTAGAGCCAATGATAAAGAGGGCTTTTTTTAATGTTGACAATAAATCTGCAGCAGCATGGGATGGCTGCCGTGGGACTATCCCCTGGTCTCCTTGGTAAGCCTCCGCTTCACTCATGGTGCCTGAAATGAAAATAAAATTCATTCAAAACTTTGAATTTTATTCAAATATGCTATTAGTTTTAAATAATATTCAGTGGCATCATCAGCTGAAAAAACTCAGTGAAATGCATAATGAAATGACAAGAATATGATGAGGTAGGGCAATTACCAGGAAAAAGCACTAAGCCATTATGACTATATAGCACTTGTAAAAGATACGAGAACAAGACTTTAGGATAGGACAGAGGAAACGACTGGTGCCCAACCACTTGGATAGTCGAGGAATAAACATCAACCTGCAAGAAGCAAGAATGGCGTTCTTCCGTTTAGTCCACATGCATGAGGAATCTATGAGAAAATATATGCAGGTTCGATCCCATTATTTGACCTCAATATTTTCCCATAATTAAATGTTGCATCAATTATGATTTATCACCACTGCTTGCACTTTCATAACTTTAAACTTAATCTCATTCATTATGTTTCTTGAATTTAAAGCCTAATTTAATTAAATTTAAAAAAATGGGGCAAAGTGTTTACTGTTATGTGATATGTATATACTAGTATGCCTGCATTGTTAACTCCAAAATCCCATAAATTAAAAATCTAAGGCTAACTGAACAGATGGTAAAAACAATGAAATTCTGTACTATACACAGAATTATATAAAAAAATATTTACACTATAGTTAAGATTCAACTGCCTGAAATGCTATACATGTTAGTGGCTTTGCAAGAATGTAAAAACACCAATGTTGTATACTCTCACAAATCTATTGTATCTTCTTGTATAGATAAATAAAATAAAATAAATTCAGCTAGTCTTTGTTCCTGCCTCCCCCCCCCCCCAAAAAAAAAGTACCACACATCTGGTTGGCTAAATGATATATGATATATATAAATAATATATGAACTTTAATTTGTAAACATAACAGTAATTCTCTGAAGAGCTAAGCCAATGTCTACTTACTTTCTTCAAAGGCTGGCATGTGATTCAGGGATGTGTATACATATTAATGGATCAAAACAAAATTCTGACCTTTGATAACCTGACAAAAATCTTATCTTTATCAGTAAGGCTGCTTGTACCTTATCACTTCAAATTAATATACTGTACATGACTTTCACAATTTTGGTTAGTACTCTGATACTGTAGAGATACCAACATTCTGATACTGATAATTAATCTTGTTTTTGGATGGTGGAACTAACAGCAAAGTCTCTGGTTACTGGGTTCATAAACTGACTCGGTATATAAATTACTACCATTTAAAAATCATTAGTCTGACTCCACCACATCACTTCCTAATGCATTCCATTTATTAAATAATTGGATACAGAAAAAATTTCTTTCTAATGTCTCTGTGGCTCATTTGGGAACTCAGTTTCCACCTGTGTCCCAGTGTGCAAGTACGGTACCACCCATGTTAAATAATGTCCATCTCTACCTTGACAATTCCCCTGGGAATTTTGTATGTGGTGATCATGTCTCCCCGAACTCTTCTGTCTTCCAGCGATGAGAGATGCAATTCACACAAGTCTTTCCTCGTAACTCATGCCTCTTGAGTTCTGGGACTAGTCTAGTGGCATACCTTTGAACCTTTTCCAGCTGTGTCTTGTGCTTCACAAGATATGGACTCCATGCTGGAACCACATACTCCAGGATTGGTCTTACATATGTCGCATACAAGGTTCTAAATTGATTCATTACACAAGTTTCTAAATATATCAATCCATTAATGGCAGAATTCTGATGATGTCAGCCAGCCTTGCATATGTCACTGATATTCTTTTGATGTGGGCTTCAGGAGACAGGTTTGGCATGATATTAATATACATATGTATGTATGTATTTACTATTTGTGTTTGCAGAATCGAGCTATTAGCTCTTGGACCCCACCTTTCTAACCAATCTTTTTCCTTTATTATATCTAGTACTACATATATTTCTCTCTAACACACACACACACACACATCCCCCAGGAAGCAGCCCATAGCAGCTGTCTAATTTCCAGGTACCTATTTACTGCTAGGTGAACAGGTGCAGCAGGGTAAAAGAAACTTTGTCCATTTGTTTCCACCTCAGCCAGGAATCGAACCCAGGCCATTAGGACTACAACCCCCAAGGGCTATCCACTCAGCTGCGAGGCCATGTATGTATGTACGCATATATGTATGAATGTATATATGTATGTATGCATGCATGCATGTATAAATGTTTGTTTATTTTGTATGTTAGGCTTATATCCAGTTCCCTCCAAGGTTGAACTACCGATTCTCCCGAGGGTGCAACCCCACAACAGTAGTCTAACTTTTGGGTACCTACTTACTGCTAGGTGAACAGAGAAATTATGTGAAAGGAAACATCTTAACCATTTCTGTCCTACCCAGGATTCGAACCTAGGATTTCCAATAGAGTCGAGAATGAACTGAACTGTACTACCAAGAGACTAATCTACACTTACCTAACTAAACATTACCTAGCCCAACGTACCATATCTACAAAGTAGAGAAAAGCCAAACTTTATTAAAGTGTGCAGAAGCGGTTTTAAATGGGTGACTTTCTGATGCCATAGGCCTATATTTGTATTTTTAACACATATACCCAAGGGCCTGCACCCTACAGTATTAGGTAAAGCCATACATTTCCAACTCTCAATACAGCTTGTCTAATTTTTTTTAGTAGGGATCATTTCATATAACTGTATACAGTATGTTGTTCTGCTTCTCATTCAGTCTTCTTATATACTAACACTAAACTTATTGATAAAACTTGTATGAGCCGTGATGAGGATTTGAACCTATGCAGCGGGTGTTTCCACACACACTTCCCATACAACTAGGCCACGACATGGTCAAAAGGATTGCAACCTGGAGTTCTACTGAACACATAAGGGTTTGCTGAGGCTTCCACTGAAGCCAGACCAGGATTTTCACACAATCCCACCATGCACTCTGGCTCTAATCTGGTCACTAACAGGTTCATACTGGCCCTGTATCCAAATAGTACAGCACCCCAGTGCCCTTTATTTAACATTCGGAATCCTTTGGTTAGTTTAAGGGCTTGGTAAGTTCGTAACTTCCACTTAGATTCAGTCTGAGTAGCTTGAATGTCTTAAGAATATTTTGGTAAGATACAGCATTTTGTTGGATTCATTAACATGACAAAGGAACTTATTTGGCCCAAGAATATACAGTATGTTTTAAAATGTACAGTACTGCTAAAAACTTTAACTTACTATAGATATGCATCCCATGTGCATTGGGAAACCTTAGGACAGGTTGTATCATTAATACAGTAATAGGGCTGTATCATCAATACAGTAATACATCATATTAACATAACCAAAAAAATGAAATCTAACCTAACCTAACCCTAGATAGTGAGTACATAATAGCACAAATTACGTAGTTGTCCCCAATCCATTCCCTTGAGCAGATCTCCTGCCCGAGGACAGGTTGGTATACGTGCGAACTGAATAAATCCTCACTGCACAAAAGTCCTCAATAAACCAAAATCTTAAAACAGATCTACAACAAATCAATTCCAACACTGGTTACATGAACTTACCCCACAAACTAGCCTCCAGCCTATGTAAATCGACCTAACTAGCGTAAATATGAGTCGGAAGTGACCTGAATGAACTCACCCGAGAGTATAACACTGTATTGATCCTTCCAGGAGCGACGAGGGGCTCCCATACAATGGTGAATGTTGTCCACAAGATCACCCATCCAACCACTGGCCGAGCTTAACTACTCACCCCGTGTAGACTACTGACCTAAATGACGCAGTTTCAGCTCACCAATCTTTGCCCCAAATCACCTCAAACCAAAAAATAACCGATCACCTTGTATACCGTATACCTCAAATGACTCAATCACATGACATAACAAGGAAAAAAACAACCCCAGTAAAGAACCTTACACAATACCACGCATTAAATAACCCCCAACCTTGAAAACAGCATTTATTACCTTAACGAGGGAACCAGAGTAATGGACCACACCTGCCCACGGCTCCTGGTGCCGGGAATATGAGATGAGAAGAGAAGTAAATGAGAGATGAAGGGAGCGCCGAGGAGGATTAATCTCCCCAGTTGCTGTCACTGTCCTCCTCTCTCTCTCAGCTGACTGGCTGAGGGAGGGGAACCAGGGTTGCCAGACCCAAATTGTGGAAAGTAGCGAGCTGACGGTCTCAATGTAGCGAAATTGTAGTAAAAGTAAACCAATTTTTGTTTGAGTGGACGGGTTTCAAAGTAATATATTTTGATATATAGAGTACACTACAAGATCTTAATTGTTTTATTATTATTTCTGCACATGCATACCCACACACACACATTCTGTATATATATATATATATATATATATATATATATATATATATATATATATATATATATATATATATATATATATATATATATATATATATATATATGTTTCATTGAATATGACCGCATATTCTGTATTTATTATTTTCTGGTTTAGGGCTTCTATCCCTCTAACTATTTTCTTAGCATCAGGGCTTAATTGGAATAGGAGTTCTCCAAAACTCATTTTCGTACTTTTAAGGTGAAGAAAAGAAGTGATTTACTATAGAGTGTATTACACTTATTTGTATAATTTGCACGACGTTTCGAACCTCCATGGTTCATTCTCAAGTGAACAGATCTTACAATACTAGTTGATTTTATACCCGCATTAGGTCAGGTGATAATACAATGAAGGTGAAAAACATGGGGGGATACATAAGGGATAAACATAGGGGCTGCAGAAGGCGTATTGGCCCATACGAGGCATCTCCTATCTAAACACAAAGATTAATCCAGTGTAATTGGCCTGTTATGTTGGACATTGTCTTCTGTGTTGGCATCGATATGTTCTTGTCTTGTCCTTACTAGTAAGGTAGTAAGGACAAGACAAGAACATATCGAATAAAATCAACTAGTATTGTAAGATCTGTTCACTTGAGAATGAACCATGGAGGTTCGAAACGTCGTGCAAATTATACAAATAAGTGTAATACACTCTATAGTAAATCACTTCTTTTCTTCACCTTAAAAGTACGAAAATATATATATATAATAAACATGAGAGGATGTGCAGTGACTTAATATCTAACATATTCAGAGATTTGAGTAGAGGTACCGAGTGCCTGGGGCCAGAGTTGGATATTGTCCTAATAGCAGCTTTGTGTTGAGTAATTAGAGGACGCAAATGATTTTGGGTAGTAGAACCCCCAAGCACAAATACCATAGTTGAGATAAGGATAGATGAGGGAGTAACAGTGTCACCAGGGCAGGGCGAGGTACATAATATCTGATCTTAGAAAGAATGCCAACAGTTTTTGAAACTTTTTTTGATATATTTAGAATGTGTCCCTGGAAATTCAGGTTCTGGTCAATGAGAACGCCAAGGAATTTGCCATCTATTTTGTTACAAATTTGGGTACTATTTATCCTGAGATATATTTGATTTGAGGATTTATTGCCAAACAAAATATAGAAAGTGTTGTCAATGTTGAGGGTATTGGTAAATACCCTCAAATAAACCTATATATAATAAATATAAATATAAAAAATAATACCTATTGGTAAATACCAATGTTGAGGGTATTGACGAAAGGTATTGGTAAAAGTTTTGAGTTCAGATATGAAGGGAAGGCATAGTACAGTGCTACTAGTGTTGGAAGCAGGTTTAGGATGAAAGAAATTTCGTTTAGCTTGAGAGTGGGCACAGTTGATGAAATGCAAAGGATAACCAAGGCGAGAGAATGATTTGTAGATAAAGGCAATTTCAGAATCAAGAAACTGAGGGTCGCTGATGCGTAGAGCGCGGAGGAAGAGAGAGACGAGGACACTTTTCTTAACAGAAGGAGGATGGTAGGAAAAGAAGTGAATGTACAATCCACTATGCATGGGTTTACGGTAGACAGAGAAAGAGAACCCAGACACAGAGCTGTGGACATGAACGCCAAGAAAAGGAAGGAGGGAATTAGATTTCCACTCAACTTTGAAATGGATAGAAGGAGCCAGATTGTTAAGAGAGGAGAGGAAAGGCTGGAAAAGATTAAGGTCATGAGGCCATAAAGCAAAAATGTCATCAACATAGCGAAGCCAGAGAGAGGGACGAGTATCAATAGAAGGAAGAAGAACAGTTTCGAAGTATTCCATGTAGAAATTAGCAAGAACAGGGGAGAGAGGGGAACCCATAGCGACACCGAAAGTTTGAGTGTAATATTTACCGTTGAAAGAGAAAGAGTTAGAGTCAACACAGAGTCCAATGAGATCGAGGAAAACGTCAGTGGGAAGCGGGAGAGGAAGGAGGCCCTCTGACGCCTTCTGTCTGAGGAAAGAGAGAACGTCATCGAGCGGAACATTAGTGAACAGAGAGTCGACATCAAGACTAAGCATCTTACAAGAGGGTTGCAGGCGCAGTCTTTCTATGAAGTCCTGAGAGTGACGAAGGTGGGCAGGGGAAAAAGTGCCAAGGTAAGGTGTCAGGGTTTTAGCGAGGCAGGAGGCAAGTTTTTTTGTTTGTCTAGTTTTTTTCCTCTCGCCATTACTTGGTGCAATATTTGAAAGTTGTCTATTTATTCATTGATCTATCTATTATCTTGTATTTATATTTACAAGTTTCTGTGCTTGGAAGAAAACTCTGCATTGAATTGGGACTAATTTATTAAATAATATTATTTAGTATTAATTAATATTTACAATTATTATTAATTACAATTATTTATAGCTTAGTTACTTAGTTACTATGCAACTTAAGCTTTGTTAATCTTTCTTCATATGAAAGATTTCTAATTTGGGGAATTAACTTAGTCATCCTACGCTGGACAAGTTCAAGTGAATTTATATCCATTCTATAATACGGCGACCAAAACTGAACTGCATAATCTAAATGGGGCCTAACCAGAGCAAGATATAGCTTCATTTGATAACTATATGCCTGTTAAGTAGAAGATTTTAATTTGTTAATAGCATTATATTGTATATATACAATGATTATATATATGTATATAAAACTTGCAACTAAGAGAAGAAATGTAGACAGTTACACACCACAGAGTTTATCACAGATTAAGAAAGTAATTAGAAACAGAACAATGCAAAAGATGTATAGTGACCACAACACAGCAATTGCAACATCAGGATCTGCGGGTTGGTACAAGAATTCAACCAACTACGAACCACTTAGTTTGATGAAAGGGAACAGTAGAACAACAGAAGTGCACTTACATCGCATCAGGCTTGGATACCCATGTGCATGGGAAATAGGCTTACAGGTTCCGGAAGATGAGAGGAAATGTTAGCGCTGTGGAGAAATGCCCGACAGACCAATGGAACATTATCTAACACAGTGCACAGCTACAAACCCATTAACATTTCAACTTAGATTCAACAGAGCAGAAGTTGTTAAACACATATGGCAAAATCTTACTGAAGCGACCATACGAGTCATAAATACTCATACTCCGCCCAAGTAAAACAGAAACAAGCAACACTTAGTGGGCCAGCCAGAGGCTTAGGGCCCGCGCAGGAATATCCCTGCAAAAAAAAAAAAAAAAAAGTATACGAAACGTACCAGTTATGTGTCCGAAATGGTAAAAATATGTCTTGGTTAGTATCCCCTGTAACTATGGTAACGTTAATACATATTATAATAATTATAGTAAATTAATTAGTTTGCATTTTACGAATGATTTAATATTATTAAATCACGAAACTCATGATTATTTGCGTGGATTAATGTTTTCAATTTTTGTTTTTGTTTACTTTTGGTCCACAAAATAATGTAATTTGAAACAAAACCTAATAATTAAGATAATGTTAAGTAAAACTAAATCTTACAAGTTTACCTACAGTGTTCAGAAGTGAAAACAAAAAATATATAAAAAAAATAGGGGTGGTAGGAGAGGAACCATTAGTGAAGTAACCCCGTGAGTGAGAAAACATCTCCTGTTTTCAGTCCCACATTGTTTGTTGTTTGTTGAGCTTGAAACCGTTGCTCCTTGTTTGTTACACCTGACCATTAGAAGCAGTGGTGTGGATCAATATCCTCCTAATTGTTCAGTATTTTAGTAGTTTTGATGAGATCAGCCCTGTCATGTCTGGTTTGTAGTGTTGTTAGCCCTGTGGCCCTCAACTGTTCCGGGTATGACAGTCGACTTAGTTCTGAGATGATGTGTGACTTCCCACACACACACACACACACACACACACACACACACACACACACACACACACACACACACACACACACACACACACACACACACACACACACCTCGTTAGGGGCCTCGTAGCCTGGTGGATAGCGCGCAGGACTCGTAATTCTGTGGCGCGGGTTCGATTCCCGCACGAGGCAGAAACAAATGGGCAAAGTTTCTTTCACCCTGAATGCCCCTGTTACCTAGCAGTAAATAGGTACCTGGGAGTTAGTCAGCTGTCACGGGCTGCTTCCTGGGGTGTGTGTGTGTGTGGTGTAAAAAAAAAAAAAAAAAAAAAAAAAAAAAAAAAAAAAAAAAAGTAGTTAGTGTAGTTAGTAAACAGTTGATTGACAGTTGAGAGGCGGGCCGAAAGAGCAAAGCTCAACCCCCGCAAACACAACTAGGTGAATACACACACACACACACACACGCGCTCTCATCCTGTCACTACACTTAGGAAGTTAATAGTCACGTACGTTAGACATATCAAGGTCTATAACGTCGGACTGGTGACCCTCCCCTGGATACAACCCCACAACAGTTGACTAACTCCCGGGTGCCTAAGTACTGCTAGGGAAACAGATGCATTAGGTGATAGGGAACGAGTTATCATTTACGGCTTCGTCGGGAAGGTGGTTCCATGGTTTCCATGAATTTACTGGAGGGTGGCCCTCGGGCAAATTCAGGTATCTCTCTCTAGTGGTCTCGACGAGGACAAGAAGGTTGTCTGGCTTGTCGAAGGCCCCTCCCATTTGTTTTGGGGATTTTATCGAGCAATGTTTCGGCATTTACGACTTCGGCGGGTAGGCGTTTCCACAACTTTATAATTCTATGGGTGAAAACAAATATTTTCCATCTTTCAGCGTGACTTGTTGAGCTGGAAACCGTTGCTCCTTGTTGGTCTTACATCTTCTAGCCGTT